ATTACTGTTTATGATGTTTGCCTTTAGGTATCTTTTGTGTTGGGTAACTATGGCAGAATGGGCTCAAGTTGTATAATGCACTTAGTTCACCACATTGTTGGTTTTCCCTGGGTGGCCTTTCAAAGTACAATTTTTTTAAAAGTGAAAAAACTGTTTTGCCATTAATCTTGTTCCTAGTTTTTGCCAATTTTGAGTTGATTGTCAACGTCTTTTGTAGGATTTCTTAAGATCGACGACAGTTCTTTTTTAATTTCTACATTTGTTTGGAAAGAATTGTCATTAATAAAATCTGACTATTTTATTCTAATTCTCTATCAGTCCAACCTTTTTAATTTCATCTTGAACTGTTATTAAGTTCAGAACTCTTTTTTATAGTCTCTTTGCATCAATGCAGGCTTGCACAGGTTCACAGGGAGAGACAAGTGGCTCAGCACCACGTAGATCATGCTACCGATGTGGTGAAGAAGGACATTTTGCACGTGAATGCACTAGCTCATCCAAGGTTTGTTAGAAGCTTCTGCTCATCCTTTATACTGTTATTATCTTCTCATGGGACATTGGCACCTACCTGCCTTTGACCCCTTGGTTTTGTTGGCTATGCCTACCGTGGTAATATCAATATCAGTTCCAGCTTCATGTACTGGATAAACTTTTCCTGCTTTCTTGTGCCCATGTTCTATTATTCGTAGATGCCATTATTTATGAAATTTTGTACTTTCTACAGGGTGGCAAAAGGAATCGTGAATTATCAACCCCCAAGCAAAGAATTTCCAAGGAACGTAGGAGTCGTATTGAGGTTAGATCTGCTCCTAATGATATTGGCAAGGCACGTGAAAAGAAGAAAACTAAACATGATCGCAGAGTCATGTTGGCTTCTAAATCAAAACCAAAGCATGGTTGGATCACTGAAGATCCTGGAGACTTTCTTGGTAGTAAACCCAAAGTAGCTGGTTGGAAATCTCCTGCAACCCCCATGTATAAGAGAATTAATGTTTCTAATCATTATGCTGCTAGTAATGCATCAACGTCTTATTCTCCTGCAAAAGCTTATAGGTTGAACTATAGAAATTCAGCTTCGCCTGGGTCAGCAAACTTTTATCAGCCCACATTTTTGGCGTCACGGTTTGACTATAACAGTAGCGGTGGGATGAGAAGAAATTATGATAGGTAGGAGAAAACCTTTATGAGCTGTGCTCTATGTTAAAGTCACGCACTTTGTTGGATGACTCCCTGGCTATTCAACCAGGCTGCTGAATCCTTTGATGTTGTTTATGAGCAACATATACCTTTGGCTTTTCGGTCTGGAGTCTGAGTCTGGTTAGGGCAGGATAGGTGGATTGCTGAAGTTTGTAATTGTTTGGGGTTGATCAATCATCAAGAATTACTGGGATAGTAGAAATGGTGGAGAAGCGAAAGCTGAGCTGCGGCACAGTAATCGCAGATGATGTTATTGGCAAATTAGTAAGATACCGCAGATTATGTCATTGGCAGTTCGTAAGATACTTGAGAGAACATTATTGGCTGTTCGTAAGATTAGCCCTTTCTTCTTCGAGTTCTAATGTTTTGCCTTTCAGAAGTAGATATCCTCTGAACGTATAATTCCATGAAATCTTAATCATGAGCATTTTGATGCTTTTCTCCTGTAGCCATTCTGTTGTACTAGGTTCTTGTAACTTTGATATTTTAACCCCTTTTTGCCTTATTCATGAATCTTCTTTTTACTCGCTTCCTGCTCAAGCTGGATCCATACTTTGATTTATAGTACATCTATTTTTTGTTGATTAGTCTTCTCTTTTAATCCTCTGCTGCTGGAAGTAGCATCATGAAGATCCATCATGTATATGGTAAAAGCACTAGCAGTCCCCCACATCTCCCAATTGCATGTACGAAAAGTTTCACCTTCTAACAATTAAACCTCTCAGGCAATTAGAATTATGCCCACTTATTCCAGGTGTTGATGGTGGGCTAATGTTCTATCCATAATCCTGACTCCCCCTTTTGTATCTTAAGATTCTTCAATTAGTGCATCAATTTCATGAAAACAAATGTAATCAGAAGAACATGTTGAAGCTTGACGAAGTTAGAGATTACAGCATAAAAACTTTGACCATGTGAAAATTTTAACTTATTTTGAGTTGCAAATGGTTTTATGTCAGAGAATGAGTTTAAGAGGTGCACTCTAGAGGACAAACATGAACGGACAATCAACTTCGTTTCTAATTTTTCAGTCCATACGATAAAGAAAAGCCTTTTATTCATCCATAGATATTTTTTTATTTTTGATAAATATTCATCAATAGATTTAGGGTTCAATGAACAGATTATACGGCTGGACTTGGTAATGCCTAGAAATTACAAGATTTTGCATCGTTTGGATTGCCATTTTTCAAAGAAAAATATTTATATTTTTCGTGAAAAATTTTTCAATTAACTTTCACCTTATATATATATCATATCTCTATAGTGCATTTTTCTATATAGACTCTCAAAAATAGCAATTTAAATGGAAAAGTCAATAAAGAAATCTTTATCTTGTATTTCATCATTTCAAATTAGCTAAGTAGTTAAAAACAATTATGAACCTTTTTCACCTAGCAAAGTAACATTAAAATGCCATAATGGCCAACAATGACAATGAGTAGGATCTAATCCAATAACTTGAGAAGCAGCAAATTCATTTGAACCGATCTATGGTAGTTTTTGTTTCTTCTTGTCGCCATTTTTTGCCTCTATTACTATTAAAATTTTCAGCAGGGCAGATTAAAAATTCATAGCAGGCCAGCTTAATGATGCATTTGGATAATAATAGTGATAATTCCATCAGAGGTGTTCTTTCCTTGAGCTTCATTATTGTCCTTTTGGTCTCTGAAATCACTTTAAAGCACCAATTTTGGTTGCAATGAATCAATTCAAGTTCCCTGTTCCAAAATTCAATTGTCTAGGAACCTCCTGCACAAAAGGAAAAGGAGAGCATCCCCCAAAAAAAAAAAAAAATGTAAAAGGAGAAGCCTAAAAAAAAGATGGAGAAGCCTCAACTTTTGGCTAACAAAATTCACTTTGTAAAACATTATCTCCCTATCAAATTTCCAAATTTCTGATCTTTCAATCCTAGTTTTATATACATCTATGCGCGTGTATATAAAAGAATTTACAATATTAATTTCACGATTTTTTTTTAATTTTTTTTGAAACAATCTCCGTTATAAAATAAATCATACCAAAATGCACAAAATAATCTAATACATCAAATCAAAAACAATAAAAAAAAATAGAAAACAACTCCAATTTCCCCATCCTCATCTCCAATAATCAAAACAAATTATAAAGAACCTATTGGCTTCTCCATCAAGTTGCCTTTCACTTGTGACCTCTGTCAAGTCTCAAGACTCTCAACCTAAATCCAAGGTACAAAACTACAAACCTTCCTTCTGTTCTGCCTTCTCAATTCCCAAATCCAATTCCCAAATCCCAATCTATACCTTTTATTCCTCATTAACTCAAATATTGTCCTCCTTCATCACCGCCACCTTTTCCAAATCATGCTACTTATACCCATTATTTCACTTGTCCTTTTGACTCCTAATTTTGCCTTCCAAAGTAACCATTTTGGTAACCACGGCAAATCCAACCAACTGCACCTCCTCACAGCATAGCATAACATAGCAAGTATCAGTTAGCAAACTTTCCTCCTAAAAACCAAAAGGTCCATTTTTTCCCTTCCCATCTCATCATATCCCCATCTGATTTCAAATTTCTCCCTCTTCACCACCACCCCCTCTCCTCCTTCTCCTCTCTTTCTCCTGATTCTGCATTTACTTTCCTTTTTCACCAATCCAACTTCCAAAACCTAATTTTCTCTCTCTCCTGAATCCTACTTTTTTCCTCCTCTCTCCTCTCTCCTCTCCACTGCATGAACTTCTCATCTTCTTCTGGTCATCTTGGTTGATTTCAATGACTCCTTTTTTACCCCTCTTAGGCACGCAGAAACAACACTAAAAACACAGTTGAATTTCGACTACTGAAGCTTAGCCCAATAGCCCTTGCTAAAAAACTCTTCTTTCCTAAAAGGGTTTGTCCAAATCACTTTTGGCACCAAGGAACTCAACTTTTCTTGCTTTTTTTCCCGCATTTATTTTTCCGGGTTCTATTCTTTCCCCCAGATTTTGATGGGCTTTGACGTTTTTGGAAAATGACTTGACCTGTTCAGTGCTGTCAGCGTACCTGCATTGTGAGGAGTGGACTGAAGTTGAGAAATTTGTGATTACAATGTCGGATGACATGCTTATGCAATTTTCCTCCAACTCTTCCAATCAATCGGATCAATCTTTGCCCACAAAATTGAAGCTCGAGGCGCGAATGGTGGGCAAAGCATCCTCTGCAACTGCACCCGTCGCACACACAAGCAGGCAGCTCGTGGTCTGTTGCCACCAAATTCCCGAGCCTCCTGAGAGCTTGCCTAATGAGCATCTGTCTAGTGATTCGATGACAACGATGTGAGTGTTTAGGTTTCTTTGTCTTTTTCTTTTTTGGATTTTTCTTGTTTAATGGATCACATAATAATGGCATAATGTGGTAATTCTAGGCTGTGAAAGTGGGACGTCGATGTTTGTTTTGGGAAATTTATGTATTTGGAATTCTGAAATTATTGCGTGTTGTAAACCTTTGCAGAACTCAAGATAATTCCCATACAATGGTTGAATTTAATGCATACAGCTATGACTATTGTGTTGCAGCTATTAGTTATACTGGGAAAGGGAAAGAATTGCAGAAGCTATGGTTCTGGAAATGCGACTGTACATCGCTGTCCTGTTTTCTGGGAGCTATTAGTTTGATTAATGATCTTGCTGATGTACCTTTGATTTGGTTATCAGTCATACATGGGTTTATTTGGATTTGTCAATTTTTGCAAGCATTTTTTGCATCATAAAACCGCTTCAATCACCTTTTTATCTTTCCAATCAAATCACAAAAGTGCTCAGTATGATTCAAAATAATTTCCAAATGATCTTCTAGCCATGCAACCCATTACTTTCTTAATCCATTTTTTTTTCCTTAATCTTGATATTGCCCATTTTCACTTGTTTCTGTCTGGATCACTAACGGATTCAACTTCAGTTTCTATTACATTTTTGCGACTTTGTTCTTTCAATGATGTGCAGAGGATGGATTAAATGCTTATGTTGCAGTGAAGAACTTTTTACATGAGATTCTTAAATGTTGTACTTTCCTGAACAATAAGGTTTTCATTTGTCTTTTTAGTCCTGTGTCTTTTTAGAGTTTCCCACTTTGGTTTTGAAAACATTGACTGATAGTTGAAGTCGTATTCTGTTTGACTGTAGTTTGTTTCATATTCTGCCTCTTCTGGATATTGTGAGGTAGTTTATTGGGTGAGTGGCTATTACAATTACAACAAGGAGCATAATATATTTTCGTTTACGGTTTGATATTTTCCTGCATGATTTTTCATAATTTTCTAATGATTGTCCAAAATAAACTGAATGGAGCTGTGGAAGCCTTAGATAAATTGGGAGTTGACATAAGTTGGAATCTAGTTGGTGATGTTATTCCATTAATGCATCAAGAAATTTTAAAAATATTTAAAGAAGGATGATCCACTTGCAGCAGGTTTAACAATAATTGACTTACTAGCAAGCTTCTCATCCTATATAGGGTAAGAAATTTAAGGAACTGCTAAGTGTAGATTTCCTTTTTATCTCTTGTAAATTGGTTCACTATCTTGCTTGAAGCTTTTGAGTTGAAGAATTAAAAAGAATGCAAAGCACGTGTTTCGTCAATGGTTGTCTTTAAAACTTCAGTAACTTTATCATGGTCCAAGTTGCATGGCATTTTTCATATGACTGTGGGGAAGGAAAGGTCGTCTCATGTGAGGTTTCATTTCAATTTATTTGGTGCTTGGTACTTTCAGTTATTTTTCATGAGCGGATAAATTTCTGTGCGAAGGATAAAGCTAGAAGAGGTGGGAGAGAAAAAATGTTGGGGAACTGAGCACGTTGTACAAGTTTTTCGTTTTAACTGTCTATTATCTGTTCTTTTATCTACTGTCACCCTTTGCATCCGGTGTTGTACAATTATGTCTTTCAACAGCTAGCATACTAATACTTGTAAATTGATTAAAGGAAGTGGCTAACACTTACACAATGAAACATTGATAAAAAGGTCCTTGTGGTTCAGTGCACTTCTAGAGGGAAATAATAAAAAAAAACTGGATTTTGCTCAAATATTTGGTTTTCAATTGAGTGCTTCTGTTTGTTATAAGGAATGTTTAATGTGTTACACTTCCAATTTCTTGCTAAGCCAGTGAAGCATGATTCGAATGATTTCAACTAATTTTTAGACGGTCTCAATGCTATCAATTTTCAATAAATGTGCAACATTAATTCTTACAGCTTCAGAATGATATGAAATGTATCAGTACAGGAATTATGTCCTTGCTCTTTTTAAAAGGATAGTGGATTTTGCATTAAGATTGTCTTTCTTTTATTGCATGTACCATCCAACAATTATTTAAATGAGATAAGTTAGATGAAGCAAAAGCATTGTGGAAGGTTGTCATTAAAATCCTTGGTTGATAATCATATCTCACATTCCGCTGGTGGAAATGTTTTTTTCTCCTGCTTCCTCCATTTTTATTTGCATATTTGTAACTATTAAGAGTCGAAAGGAAGCCTCTTTTTCATGTAACAGTCTACCTATTTTAGTTGGTTTGGCCACTGAACATTTACTGTCAATGTAATGATTGCATGTGTGTAGTGCATTGTACGTCGCATATAGGTTGCATTCTTTTACCTTGCCACAAATAAATGACATGAACATGCAGAAAGAATATGTATGCATTAGTGGGTGATGCCTATCTCGGTGATACTTTCCTTACATATTCCTTTAAATTTACATGTTCATTTTTAAATCTTTGGCTTGTAAACTTTCTCGCTGAGCTGTTTCTAGTATTTGGGCCTTTTGGCAATTTTAGTCTGATTTTCACACACTTTTGCTGGATGTTCTTGTTCCTTTATTAAGTTTTTGCACTCCACAAATTTTGAAATGATTTTAATATGAAACCTTGATTCTCCTCAGCCAAAAGCTTCATCAGCTGATTTGGATGAATTTGTGGTGGTAAATGATAGCATGATTTAGTAGGCTGGCTAAATCACTAACTCTAATAGAAGATACTCCAATCCATGAACAAGTATTGTCAGTATGCTACCTCACCAAATTCTGTGCATGATTTCAGCCAGCAACAAGCTCTTTGCTTTAGTAGAGGTCTAAATGGAAATGCTGTTAGATAGTTAGATACACTTTTAATTCATTAAAAGAAAAGATAGTCACTTGAGCCTAATTCACTTTTTCTTTTAAAAGTTGTGTGAACCCGTTCACATGCATTATGGTTTGTTCTTTATGTTGAAACAAGTATCCTTTCCATTACGTGGTGAGTAATTATCGTTTCAACATTTTCTTAGCGTGCATTGGTATTTCATTGCCGTGGTCCTGTTGCACCTTTCGTGAAGGCTTTTGAATGTCCATAACATGATGAGTTTCTTTCTGCCAGAATGGAGGGGAATTTCTCATTCAAGCTAACACACAGAAGCGGCGTAAATTGGACGAGGATAACAGTGGCATGGTTTTTGAACATGTTGAGGTATGCCTTATTATGGCTACTGCATTTTGGATTGTTCAATTGATTAATATACTGAATGTTCATAGTAATCCCTGGTTCCTAGTATGGTTTGGTCCTTTAAAACTTATTTCTTCCGTTATAATATCTGGTTGTTCCTTCTTTGGGGACTTTAATAGCTACTAATTTTCAGATTTTTATTTCCCCAAATTAACATATATGCAAATAGGGACATGCATCTCAGTCTGTGGCTGAGCCAAGACAGAAGGTTGTTGAGACTGTGGACACAAATAAGCTGGCTTCAGACACAAATAGGAAAAAACAAAGCCGTGGCAGGGGGTATTCTGCCTCGGCTAGAGGGCGTGGTTCACGAGGTAATGATCAAACCAAAATTCAAACGGTTTCTCCACCAAATGGACAGCTTGAAAAGGTAAGCCTTCTTTAACATGACTATATCTCTAAGATAATTATTGCTTTCTGCTTCTAATTTTTAACTCTGTTCAAATAACCAAATTATAATGTATGGTTACCTTGTCACATGCAACTATCTCTATACCAATGTCCTTTGCTTTGTACTTTACCTGATTTCCTTGATCTAGAAAGTTTTGCAGATATATAAGAAAAAGTGGCTTGCTGGTCAACAAAATTGAATGCAAAGATTTAAATCACTATATATCTAAAGTGTAATTACTTGAAAGATATTGTGGTACAGTTGGCACATGCTTCACTGAGGCTCTATTTAAATTATCTTGGAAACCTAAAATCTTGTGCCAGAAAAAAAAATGATCAAAGAGAATTTCTGCTTTGGCTGTTTGACTGTTTCATCTAATGGTAAAGTTACTCATCATAGTCTTGATACTTTCCAAATTTTTGTTAATACTCTTTAAATTTTTTGCTTGCTACGGATTTGGAACTTTAAGATTTAGATGTCTTGGTTGACCGTCGCAATGGTCATATTTCTGTGTTATGTAAACCTGATTTGTAGAAATTATTTAATGAAATTTCTTTATTTATTGGGAGTGAAAAATTGAGAACCGTTTGATCCATGTCCGGTATCTTGCCTAACTTTTGCATAGAGTTTGCGTTGTCAATTGGTCTAGTTTGAACTAGATAATAGTCGGTCCTTCCCCCCCCCCCCCACCTGAATAAGCTGTAGCAGTATATTAATTTGCTAAAAATGGTTTTTGGGTATTCAAATTGGGATTTTAGGTTATATCTCATTGTTGTTGTGAGTAATTACTGGGAATGTATGTAGCTGTTTTTTCATTTTTCTACTGGATCACTACAAGTAGTTCAGAAATCTGTTTTGTATTGACTGCCCGTGTTCTAGAATCTAGTGTAGCAGAAAAGGATGTTCCAACCTAAAAATATCATTACTACGTTGTAAAATACCCTACAGATCAACCAGTTTGTATTTCTCCTTTGTTCTGACATAATTTCTGTAATTTTGGAAGTGTAGAGGTGTTGCTTACAACTCAATCAAAATCAGGCCAAATCACTTCTATTGGATTGAATTGGTTGGGCTTTATTTGTTTGTTGTTTTCTTTAAATTAATCTCATTAAACTCTTGTGTGCCTAATTCTTATTGCAGGACGGGTGGCCCAAAGAGCAACTTCGACGTGACGATTTAAGTTTATTGGAGGTAGAATTTTTCTGCTACAGCTGTATTCTTTGTCTTTTTATTAGTATGTAACTAAGACAGTTTCTAACGAAAAATGTTGTGTGATTCTGTTGCAATTTTTTAGTCTTTGAATCTCCTAATAAAGTGTTATAGTTTTTTTTCACAACTTTAAATGTCACAATCATGTACACCTAATATATTTAGGAGGAGAACACAACATTACGCGAGAAAGTTGGAAATTTGGAGGAGGCATTACGGAAATCTCAACATTTAACTCAAGAGCTAGAGAAGGTATGATTCTCTTTCAGATCACTGCCACCTGCATTAGCATGAAAATTTACTGTTTCTTCTGCAATGTAGAATTCACTTTTCTATGTTATGATTTGAACAGGAGTTGAAGGATATCAAGGATATTGAGCTGCAGATGAAGCCAAAGGTATGCCATTCTGATCCTTTGCACTTACTTTGATTTTTTGCTTTTGTAATGATAAGCTTTTTGCAAAGGTGAACATGTTATCCGTCAAGTATCCAAAACACACTCTGGCATACAGGCTATTTTTAGCTCCAAAAAGACAATTTAATTGATTCCAGTCTCTGATTTTTAAAGATCTAAAAGCTGATTGAAGCATCTAGTTCTTTCATTTCGTCTACCCTCTCTATTTTGATTCAAGTGATGATGTGATTGTGTCATTTGTCATTTAGCAAGTGATCAATCAATGAAAAAGTGTACTTGATGCCAGCAGATGGTCCTTTACCTGGTTATCGCAATAACATTAATGATACATTCATAATCTTCTTGAGTAAGAATGCCATGTATAGTACAAAAAGTAGTATTGGTTACACTATAGATGTTCAGAGAGACAAATATCCGTGGCATGTCTGCCTATGCTTATGTATGTCCAACAACTGTTTAAGATAAAAGCTCCAAAATTTAGTTTTCAATATATCAAATATTATTTCTCTCTAAATCTCCTTTCCCCTACTGTTTGCTCACCATGCAGTTAAGAATATTTACCTGGAATTTAGGTCATGATTTTATTTGTAACATACCTGAATGTAGTAACCGGTCAAATATGATCACCGATTATAGTGGGTCCTTAGAAGCATTAGGGGTGACTTATCTGCAGGTTCATTCATTGTTGAAACTGGAGAATGTACATTCTTTCATCTAAAACTTTGCCTATGAGGTGTTTGATATAGTATCACTTACTTTTGACTTTTTTGCCAAGATGTTTCCAATGTTGTTAAACAATTATTTCCTGCTCATATTACGGATATATCATAATTCTGGAGTTCAGCTGAATAACTGTATGGCAAGGTGTTGGTGCAATTTTTATCTAATGCTGTTATTCCTTGTTTTTTTGGTATACATGGAGAGTTGTCTCTTGTAAAGAAAAAAATGTTAATATAGACGTCATCGTGTTTCTTGGTCCAGTGTTTCATCTACTAATTATGTTTTTCTTTCGGGTTGCAGAGATTAAAAACATTATCTGATTTGTTGATATCTGTTTCAAAAGCTGAGAGACAAGAAGCAAGGATGAAAGTTCGCCAGGATTCTTTGAGACTTGGCAATGTTGGAGTAATCAGGTAGCTTACTGTTGACTTCCCTTCTGTTAAACCAGTTAGCTTATTGGGTTGTGATGAGAGGTTAGAATTTTTTCATGGCCCATTTCCATCTTTTATTTTTGGGCCCAAGCATGAAGTATAGCAGAATAATACTCAAGGAGCAAGACCTGCATCTCCTATGTTTGGACACAGTCGAAATGTACACTAGCCTTATTCCTGCTGAAATCTTGGAACATAATTACCAGACCAAGCACAATTTCACAAAGTAGAAGGCTTGGAAATATCACAACGTGAAGCATACGATAAATGCTTGATAGGCATGTATGCATATACATGGAAACTACCATGTAGTAGCTCCATTATTGAATGTTGTCCAAGTTTAGGAACAGGTGTATATGCTGGCCCTTGTAAACATATATTTATGGGTGGTTGGTTTGGCGTGGCAGTATTTGAGCCTTAGGGAAGTGAGAGTGGTCTTGGCTGTCTGTTTTCCCTACACTTCTTTCTGTGGTGTTGAAGGAGTAATGAGGGGCAATTGGCAGTACGTTTTTTGTGGTAGACTTGCACAATTATATTGAAATGGTGGGTTGACGAGGTGCTCACGAGTTTAATGGTTCCTATCATCTGTGAATGAACCCTAGCTGAGTACTAGTGGTGTTACTTGGGATGCTTGGAGTGGGTGGTTCTTATGATATTGTTGGAGTTCCATCTTGTATTGATGAAAGCTGCAAGGCTATTAGCTGCTGCTGGCTATGGGTGATGACGAAGTATACCAGCCTTTGAAAAACAAAGTGACTAAATTTGTGATACCTGCCTTTATAAAATTGATGGGCTAACTGATTAATGAAAGCTTATTTTCTCCTGTTATCGCTTGTATTATATAGAAAACAAAATCTTTTTTGGGCTCTAAAAAAGGGCTTGGTTGCAATATCTTGGCTGGCTTAACCAAAGTTTTTTTAACAGATCATGTTCTCTTATTTGGTTGTTGCACATTTACTTGTTTTTTGTGTCTGATAAATTTCTTCTCACAAATCCTTTCTAAGATGTATATTTATTTCAGTTCTTTGCAAAGTAGCAGTTTGTTTACTGTTGAGGATTTTTTTCTCACTTTTAATGTTTTCCGCCCCTAAATTGCAGAGCTGGAATCTCATTTCTGAGACATGGGAGGATGGGCCAGCATTGAAGGATCTCAATGTCCAGTTGTATGCTTCTCTCTGCTTAATGAGTAGTCTGATTTTTTCTAGCATCTTTCAAAAATAAATTGGCTCATTTCTACGAATTATTTGGGCTCACAAAATTTTTGTTAGAATTTGTAAAAAGAATCCAGTAAAGATCAGTTTTTACTTTTCCACTTGCTCTTATTTGGAAAAGCCAAAAATGATGTTGATTACTGCTGAAATTTACTGTTGCGGGAGTTGTTGACATTATCTGCAGATTTGACATTGTTGTATGTCCTCTTCTATGTTAATGTGTGGGGGTGATCTCGAAACTTGTTCTACATGAAAATGATGAGCATTAATTGCTTCAATACAGTACTTTTTATTGCTATGTAGTAGTTCTGCTCATGTTATTCATCTAGTTTTTGAATTTGATTGGTCTGTTTAATATCTGTAGTTTTGTAGTGTTATTCCTACTTGCAGTATTCTGGTTCATGATACTTTGTGAACTTCTGTCTGGAAACTTTTCTGTGGCATCTGATTGTAGGGTTCAAATAGTTGATTGACCTTAGGACTTCTAAGTCTTTCATGGTGGTCTGATTACTTATCTGATGGTTTCTTTTGGCAAGTTAACATGTTTATTATAGGAAAACAATCTTTCCTGTACCTCTGATGCATGAAGTGCTTGTACATGGTGCCAGATACTGTGTTAATTGCAATTGTTCTCCTTTTGCTGAGTATTTTGTCCTTGTCATGTCAGTTTGTGGTTTCACGTAACAGAACATTAAGATACAGTAGCTCAAAAAAGAAAAAAGAGATATAGTAACTGGTGCAAACATGTTATTTTCCAGAGAAACTTATTGGAGATGAAAGAAGCAATTGAACGGCAGAGGAAATCACTGAAGAAAAAGCAGCCAGGTAAAAGAGTTTTATATGTGTATATTCTTTTTCAAACTAATATATGCTGATAAATTTCACTACAATGACACTTTTCTGAGTCCTCAGCAAATAGCAGTTCCTGGGGTATAGGGTAATGTTGAAAGGTAATAAGGATAGGAGAATGCACAATTAACTACTTCAAAGTGTGGTTGATTCATGAGTGCACAAGGCTTTGAGTAGTATTTTAGATTGTTCCGTTGGGAGTCTGAAGAATGCAATGATTTCTGTTTTTATGGTTAGTAATTATTTAGTCGATACTAAAAGATATGTATTTGATGACTAAAGTGTATATTAAACTCGATTCCAATATCTGGTTGACAGTGGATGGTCAACTAACCATTTGCAATTTGAACATCCTTTTCCACATGTTTTTCTGCCATTTTAGTTTAGATATTTTAACTAGTTTAAGAATGGTTATCTAACTTTCTTGGGGGTGTAACAACATTCCTCCATGCAATGATACTGAAGATATGTAACTAATTAATAATAGTCCACAGGCAACTATTAGTTCTGCAAATTGTATACATGAGTACAATTCTTGCTTTTCATGAAGTGTCCGTGTTATTCTTATTGATGTGATACTGGTTGACGAATGGCACTAATAAATAATGATTATTGCAGATAAAGTTGATGGAACTGATTCAGAAGCTGGAGTCCAGGAAGATGATTCAAGATGAAATCTATAAATCTCGTTTAGCTTGCATCAAACGTGTATGTCTGTTTCTTATTCTTTTATTGGACAAGATTTTTGTGAATGTTGTCACTTTTAGTATCAAATTTCCTACAGGAGGAAGAAACAATTATGCGTGAAAGAGATCGTTATGAGTTGGATAAAGCAAGGCTTATAAGGGAAATGAAACGAATAAGAGATGAGGATGGCTCTCGCTTCAACAATTTTCAGATTTTGAACCATCGCTATGCCCTCTTAAACCTTCTTGGCAAAGGAGGATTTAGTGAGGTCTATAAGGTAAAATACTAGGATTCCTATACTCTGTTGCTTTGGAGGCTTCAATGTGTATGAGTTGCGAAGGAAATCTCCATCCATCCATATAAAGTGTTACCAATTTCCTTTCTAACTTTGAATATTTTGAAAATGGATATTCTGAGTGATTTGAATCAACATTGATGGCAGGCTTTTGACTTAGTCGAGCATAGATATGTTGCATGTAAGCTTCATGGTTTGAATGCTCAGTGGAGTGAAGAGAAGAAGCAAAGTTATGTACGACATGCTATCAGGGAGTACAATATTCATAAAAGCTTGGTACATAATCACATTGTTCGTCTGTGGGACATTTTTGAGATAGACCAAAACACATTCTGCACTGTCTTGGAATACTGCAGTGGTATGGTTGCTCTCGCAGTTGCATTGCTATTCAATAATTTCTATACTAATACACGAAACACAAATTGGAAATGTAGATGAATCATTATTTTTTATCTTGGAATGAGGATCACAAGTATTTTTAGTCTCTTGTTTCAATATGTTTTGCCTATTCAGGCAAGGATCTTGATGCAGTCCTCAAAGCAATGCCTGTTTTGCCAGAAAGAGAAGCTAGAATCATAATCGTTCAGATATTTCGTGGCCTTGTTTACCTGAATAAAAGAGCACAAAAGATTATACATTATGATCTGAAGCCAGGAAATGTTCTATTTGATGAATTTGGCACTGCTAAAGTGACTGATTTTGGTCTTAGCAAAATAGTGGAGGATGATGTTGGGTCCCAGGGGATGGAGCTTACCTCCCAGGGAGCTGGGACATATTGGTGAGTCGTGCAGCAAATTAGCTCTTCTGACTTGTCCATTTCTGGCATGTTCTCGTGGAAGAATGCCTTCTGCAATGATGATATAGTTTAATAGAGTTTGTCTCTTAAGCTCTGTTTTTTTTCTTTTTCAGCTCATGCCGCATTCATTAAATTTGCCTTTGGATCCATTGGTTTATATTTTTGTGGCTAATGCAGTTTCATTATTTGGCTGGTAGCTAGATATTAGCAGCCTTGCGTTGATTTATGTTTTTATTATTCGAAATGATGTCCTGAATGCATAGTTCTATACTGAATTTCAGGTATCTACCTCCTGAATGCTTTGAGCTTAACAAGACACCCCTTATATCCTCAAAGGTTTGGTGAATGTTGTATTTTATCTGTGATTATGTTTAACTAGTTGGGAAGCTGTAATGGCCTGGATATGTACCTGCATTTTCTGCCTTGTCTAAGCTGCTATTCTTGTCTTTGCATTGGCCCTTGAAGCATCTTTTGGGCAACCTTTTAATGAGGCCATTTTATTTTGTACTGATGTTCAATTGTATGTTCTCGATCTGATAGATACTTGTGATTCTGTTCGAGAATACAGGTGGATGTTTGGTCAGCTGGGATTCTTCTGTACCAAATGCTATTTGGCAAACGGCCTTTTGGTCATGACCAAACCCAAGAACGAATTTTACGCGAAGATACCATCATTAAAGCCCGCAAGGTGGATTTTCCTTCAAGGCCAGCTGTGTCGAACGAGGCAAAGGCAGGTTCACTAATCATTTGTGTGTAAACTTCTTTGCTAATGTTTCTTGGGCTGATAATCTTCGACATCCTTATGTAGGGTAAATTCTCAAAGAGAGTCTGCGTAGGAGAGACTATATCATTGTTACCACCACCATCACTATCACCATCACCAGCACTAATTGCTAGTGTTTATTACCACAATTTGATAACAGTAAAAGTGGGGTGTGAAATTGATCATCTTTCTTATACTTTACAATTTGATGTGTTTTCACGCAAAAGTTTCAACAATTATGTCTTTAATTTATCTGTAATGGATAAGCATGCCAATCATGTGGATGCTACTGAGTTTATTCATGATATCCTCTTGTTTGTTTCATAATGGTTATCGTTTCCAACGTAGTGGAGTCAATTCTGATGTGGTATTGAAGTGCTTCAAAATTTATTTCAGTAATGGGTTTTGACTCGTCAATGTCTATACTTTCTGTTAGCAGAAGTATTCTGTATGAAATTCAATCGAGGTTGTCCATTTACAAACATGTCAATCTATTCCCCCAGCCCCACCCCCCACTTCTCTCTGGCAATTCTCCAAGCCAGATGTGCTGCAAATTTGAAAATCTCATTTGTATCAATGTTTTATAGCAGTTTCTGAGCTCAGACATAATGTTCATGCTTCCTTTTACTCATATTGCAAGTCATAATATGGAAATGATTGATGACGGAACAAAACGAAATAGACAAACTTGCTAGGTATGTCAAAAATGAAGAAACTATGATGATGATTTATTAAATAAAACTGGCATTGCTGATTCTCATGAAAATTGATAACAATACTGTTGATGGATTTCTAAATTATTTGCTTGGCAAAGGTGCAAAATTTGTACCTTTAGGATGTTTCCTTGTTTAGCTTCGATTCTTTATTACAATGTTTATTTTATTTTTGGATTTTCTGCGATGAATGTGGTTACATGTATTTAAAGGACATTTGCTGCCAAAAAACTGAAGAACACTTGTATATAGACTGTGCTATACTTTTCATTCATCACTTTTGTTCTGTATGCTGAAGTAGTTACTCCTTTTATGTTTTGCAGGATTTTATTCGTCGTTGTCTTACATATAATCAGGCAGAGAGGCCAGATGTTTTGACCATTGCTCAGGATCCATATTTGACATACACAAAGAAAAATCATAACAGTACATAGTGCCAACTTATGTTATAGAGAAAGCATTCCCTAATTTTGAGGTGAGGAAATAATCCCTCAATTCTACAGAATTTTGTATAGTTGTAAAGGTTTTGTAATTATTGTCCCTGTTGTTCTTCCCTTGAGTTGGGGTTTCATTTCCTCTTTCCCTTAGCCCTTTAAAGGATTCATAGACCTTTCTGGTATGTCGTTACTAGTGAGCATCTTTTTGTCTTGGTCAAGGGATGGAGATTGAGGAAGAAAGGAAAGGAAATATATAGTTTTGGATGCTCTGGTTTCTTGACTAATTGTTTGGCTTTTCAACTTGTATTTCGTGGATTTTAAATCTATAAAGCTAGGGCTGCAAACGAATTTACTCGAATTTCTTAGCTGTTAGACTCAGATTCCAATTCGAATTTTTCGACTTGATTCGAATTTTTGGACTCAAACGAAAGCTCATTTCGAATCCTAAACGAGTTTAAAATTTAAGGTTGAGTTTGATTCAATTTAGTATTCACTAGGCTCGAGCTCAATTCGGAGCTTGGAATTTTATTTAATTTTTTAATAATAAAATACTAAATACATAATTTTATAAAAATATTAAGAAACTTAAAAATATAAAAATTATTTGAGTTGTATTGAATCTTAATCAATTGAATATGTACGAGTTGAATATTCAACTCGGATTTTATTCGATACTCTAATCAAATCTTATTTATTGTTCAAACTTGAATCAAGAGTTGAATTGTTTGTTCGGGGCCAGATTCAAAATTAAGCTAAGTTACAAGAGTACTTAAAATTAAGGCCATTTTACCTGCACCTCAAGCTTTTTAGCCAAGGCATAAACAAGAGTATTAGTAGTAAGAGACTCTAAGAGCACTTAATATGCAGATTCTCTTCTCCATGTCATGTTTTAGGGCATCTCATGTTCTACCATGACCAGTTGACCCCAAGTTAAATCTCATATGAAACTGATAATATCCTCCCATGCAGTTTATGGAATTTAACAGAAAACTCATTAATTATGCATTTATGTATAAAAGTATACAAAGATCATGAACTATTCTATGTTGTTTTGAACATTTGATTTTATGATCATCAGGGTCTTTTGTGTTATTTTCATAATATCTTTGCCCACATTTCACATTTTTCAAAAGAAGAATTGTTTTTATAGTTTCACCCTTGTTTGTTATTGTGAACAATGAACACTTTGCACTTGTAAAGATTGTTGAAAAAATTTTGGACTGCCTTCATTTGCTCATGCAATTAATATAAGTGGACTGCCAAAATAATAATGCATGCATTTTTCTTTTTAAAATATTTTTCAAGAACTCACATCATTTTTAGGACTTGATAAAATTTTGTTGCATGATACCTGCAATAATTTCATAAACATCATTTTAATAATATGTACATAAGATACCATTCTAATTACGTGCATTTGGGCACTCGAGTATAATCTTAAGAAATTAAGTGAACGATGAGTAAAACTTAGAGAACTTACTCAACCAAATTAGTCATAAAATGCCTAATTATCAATTCGAGTTCATATAGTGATTTTGGGTTCAATTTTTAAAAACATTATATGAAAACTGAACAAAAGTTCGGATTTACATGAAAATTGGCAATACATGTGACATAAACGAAGTCCCAATTTTAACTTTATTATTTTTTCCTACTTGTTGTGTGACTTATATCCAGAATTCAATCTGGGAATAGATTTTGTATTCGATTCGATTAGTTTACAATCTAATTATTTATATCATGATGCAATCCTTCTTCAATTCAAATTCAATGGCCTGAGCCAGTAATATCCACTGTCCAAAAGAGCTTCAACGAAACAGGTTCTGTTTTTGATGCATGAGCCCTTGAGCTTCCTTTCGCACCAAAGTTGTGCCAATTCCATAAAAAAAAAAAATCCCAAGTTTTCACTATTTGGGTCGTAATAGTAATAACCATGGCCATAAGTTCAGGTTCAAATTGGAATCAAATCGGAATTGAATCAACAATTTGTTAAAATAGAATTATAACTAATTTGAAAAATTGAAATCGGGTTAGAACCATGGTTGAAGGTTTTGGATGAGGTTCAACGAAAGTTCAGTAACATTAAGCTAGTTTTAAAATGCCGAGTCCAAAGAAAAATAAAGAGCAAGTTAGTGAAAAATTGAGATGTTTTTCTCTTTTTCTTTTTTTCAAGTTTGATAGAAAATTATATGTATTTTTTGTTTTATGTAAAACATTCAACAAATATGAGGTGTGTTTTTCATAAATTTTTTTTATCATCTTTCTCTTCCTTGTTAGCTAATAATAGAATAAAAGCCTTATTTTTTTTTTTTACATTCATTTTCTTTAGTTTCTCCTTCCTCTAAATTCATTATTATATTTTCTTAAAATTAATTTTATAATCATAAGTAATTAAATGTACTAGAAAATCTGAAAACTATACCTAGAAAAATACTAAAATTGAAAATGATAGAAACTGAAATCGAAACTAGAACCAGCCTAACAAGAGTAAGTGCTAATTTGACCTTTAAAAGTAATTGGATCTGACTGTTCTAAAACCATTTTTATGGTATTAGCCTACTTTTTTTTTTCTTCTTTTATTCGCCGATGGAAAAAAAAGGCAAAAAAGAGGAAAACAAAAGAATACTGAGGTGCATCCCTGAAGTGTTTCTTTCACTTCAATTCAGCTGGAAGAATCGCTTTGCGGCAAAACCACAGCATAACAAATGACCCCAAAATCACAAAAATCCCAAAATTTCATGCATTCGAAAACTTGAGGGAAAACCTGCAGGAGCAGCAGTAGCATAGAGTCTGAATATTTGGTTCTTGTCTTCATTCAGATTTCATCCCAAAAAAAATGCTCCATCTTTTTATCAGAAATCCCATTTTTCTTCACTCTTGTACATCATCAACGGCAACAGTAAGGTATGCCTGTTTAAATTCTCTTCTTTTCTTTAGTTCCATTCCCCAAATTGAAAAAATCCCGCCTTTTACTTCTTCCTCCCCTGCTGTAAACGACGATGTTGAGACTGTTTTTCGGATACTAACAAGTTCAAGAACCTCAGTTGAACTCAGACAGTCACTGAGATCAGCAGCAGCTTCAATCCCTTTCTCAAATGACTTAATTGATAAGGTTCTGAAAAGGGTCAGATTTTCTCATTCTAATCCATTACAGGCTTTGGAATTCTTTAAGTTTACCTCTAGGAAAAAGGGATTTTTGCATTCTGCATTTTCTTTGGATACAATGCTGTATGTGTTGGGTAGGTGCAGAAAATTTGATGATATTTGGGAGGTTTTGGTGGAAACGAAGAAAAAGGATCAATCTTCGATCACTTCAAGAACTGTTCAAGTTGTCTTAGCTAGGATTGCTAAGGTTTGTTCAGTTAAGCAGACTGTGATTTCGTTTAAGCGGTTTCGAAGGCTTGTTTTGGAGTTTGATACTAGTTGTTACAATGCACTGTTTAGGACATTGTGTCAAGAGAAGAGTATGAGTGATGCCAGGAATGTGTATCATAACTTGAAGCATGAGTTTAGGCCGAATTTGCAGACTTTTAATATATTGTTGTCTGGTTGGAAGTCAACTGATGAGGCCGAGTGCTTTTTTGAGGAGATGAGGGAAATGGGGGTTGAACCTGATATTGTTTCTTATAACTGTTTGGTGGATGTGTATTGTAAGACGAGAGAAATGGATAAGGCGTATAGGGTGGTGGAGGAGATTAGGGAGAGGGATATTAGTCCAGATGTGATTACATATACGAGTTTGATTGGTGGTTTGGGGCTTGTGGGGCAACCTGATAAGGCAACGGATGTTTTGGAAGAGATGAGAGAGTATGGATGCTATCCTGATGTGGCAGCTTACAATGCTGCTATTAGAAATTTCTGTATTGCAAAGAGGATTGGGGATGCCTATGGTTTGATGAATGAGATGGTAAAGAAGGGGTTGAGCCCAAATGCAACTACTTATAATATTTTGTTGAGGACATTTTATTGGTGGAATGATTTGATAAGTTCATGGAACTTGTACCTGAGAATGAGGGAAACAGGGTGTCTACCAAACACTCAATCTTGTATGTTTTTGATCAGGTTGTTGAGAAGGCACGAGAAGGTTGAAATGGCACTTGAGCTATGGAATGATATGGTGGAGATGGGGTTTGGCTCTTATATATTGGTCTCTGACGTTTTGTTTGATTTGCTTTGTGACATGGGGAAGTTGGATGAGGCTGAGAGGTCTTTCTTGCAGATGGTGGAGAAAGGGCAAAAACCAAGTAATGTTTCATTTAGGAGGATTAAGGTGCTTATGGAATTGGCTAATAGGCAGGATGCTCTTCGTAATTTGTCAGAGAAGATGGCTCTTTTTGGCGGATCTATTAAACTTGCTGGGAGTGAAGAGAGTGACTTGGAAACATCAGGCTCCATGACTTGCTGAATACAATTTTCCAACTATTCCATCCATGAAGTATACTGCCAGGATGCTGAGATCAACATTTTGTTGCCATGTCAGCAGAAATTTTTATCAATTGCGCCTCCAGAGGTGCATCTATATGACATGCCAGTTTCTCGCAATTGCGTGTCCAGAAGTGCATTTGTATGACATGCCAGTTCTTCGTTAATTAGATTAGGCAGAGTGTCAACATGTTCTAGCTATGTTGCAATCAGTTTGAGTGGTGGCTGAGTAGAGCTGCTGATCTTATCCTTTTTTTTCTTTTTCCTTTTATGGGTAGCAATCATCATTCTTGCTGATGTTTTTGGCTGCTCAAACTTTGAAATTGCTTTCATTTAGATGTATACCACAAGTAAAATTTTGGTTGTAGATGTTTCCCTCAGAGCTTAAATCTTTTGATGACAATTTGTCACTCATAGAGTTATTAATTGAATCCGCTTCTAGGTTTTGTTCCACCCTTGTGGGATTGATAAAAGATTGCACAAGAATCAGAATGACTTGCTGCTTCTGGAAGTTTGTTCTGTTGGTTTTAAAGATATTCGATCAGAGAGTTTTCAACTTTCGTTTTTATGTTCCTTAATGGGTAACTTTGCAACTAGGTTTGTCGTGGAGCTCGAGATGTTCATCGTGTTGCCATATGTGGCTTTTGTTCATCAGACGCAGGGCACTCTGTTGGTGCTTTCCTTTAGCTTCATTCAACTGACGCACAAAGCACGTTAGTCTTCTCATTTTGTGTCGCAAGTACACCAGCAGTTACTTTAGATCATAAAATCAAACTAAATGTGAATGGAGAAATGCTATTTCAAGGTTTGTCTTTTAGAGTCTCATATTTCTGTGCACAAAGGTGAGTTACATGATTAAGAAGTTAATTGAATGGCCTTACATGTTGGTTTCTTAACAATCAAATTACTTGTCTATGACTTCTCTC